TAAGCTCACTTGGTGTGTGTATTAAAATTAATTAATGCACTTGGTTAAATGCAAGCCCAGATCAACTCAACAATCACACATTACCATGCAAGACAGAGAGTATCAAAAGAGTTGCATAGAAACATATATGTAACCACATATATTGAAGCTCAAATTCAACATTAACTGATCCAATACACAAAATGATCATCCAGAATTGATTACAACCATAATCAAAATAGTTCAGCTCAAATTTACAAATCCTAGACCTAGAAATTCATAAATAAAGAACTAGAACTTATAGATGAAGCTAACTCCCCTTTGAAGCTCTTGGAACTCATGCTTCTTCCACCATATTCAAGAGTTGAGAAGCTTAGCTAGTCATAACTCTTGAATCAACTCCAACTAGGTATTGTTCTTCAGCCATGGCAGCAGCAGATGGAAGAAATGGAAATGGGATTAGGGTTTCTGAGGTGGAGATGAGAGAAGAAGATGAAAGAGACGTAGGTGGTGGCTGAATAATGGTCATCTCCTCTCATCATACCCAAAATAGGGTTTCTAACCCGAAACTTACATGCATGGGTCGGTTTCTGGGGATGGGTAGGTCAAAATTTCCCGAAATGGTCGGGTTTGAGATTTGCTGCTTCGAGAGGTTCGCCACGGCGAAGAATAGGTTCGCCGCGGCGAAACATGGCAGAGAGACCTTTCTTCACGGATGGATTTTCGCCGCGGCGAACTTAGGCAGAGGGTCCTTTCCTGCTTCTTTTGCCTTGAGTTCTTCAATTCTGGCCCAAATCTTAGTGTCCTACAATAAAAAAGTAACAAATTGAAGTACCAATTGTCCTAGAAGTCAATTGCATCCAATTAACAACCAATTATGACAATTTAATCATCAAAATGACACTAACTTAAAGTAAGAACCATAAATCTCAGTTAAGCACAATTTTCATTAAAAAGGACCAGAAAGTATGACAAAATCATGGATAATGATATGAAAAGAAACTAATATCTTGAGCTCAATCAGTCATCATCAAAAAGGGGGAGAATGTTAGGATTATGGTTTTGATGATAACAAAGTTAGATTAATTGGGTTAAGTATGTTGATCGATCAACTGATCGATCAAATGATTATCGATAAGCTATCAGATAACTGTTCAGTAGAAATCAGTTTTATATTAAGCTTTTTAATTGAAGAGCTATTCGATAATTGGTTGATCGATAAAATGATCGATTATCGCTAACATGGAAGTTACATAAGGTAACAGTTAATTATCGATCACTTGATCGATAACATCAGATAAACAATCAAGTAACAGATAAAGAGAACCAAATCTGAAGTGCATTTATTGATCACATGATCGATAAATCAGTTATCAATAACGACTTCGATAAGAGGTAACACTATCTACTCGTTCTGCACATTAATTCTGTCATCATTTATCCATCATATTATCGATCACTTGTTTATCGATCATATGATCGAATATTATGCTCTAACTCTCTGAATGCAGGTACTCATCATAGCTGCTGAATCGATAACCTTATTGATCACTAAGTTATTGATCACATGATCGATAATCAATGTTTTATCTGCTCATACTTAGTTTCTCTAGAACCAAATTATCGATAACATTATCGATAATTTAACTTGTCTGCATAGTATCTTTTCACATAACATGATCGACAAAGAGTCTCAGGATTATTATCTTCACTGCATTAACTTATGTTGAATCATTTTTTTCGATCACCTAATCGATCATTGATTTATCGATAATATGATCGATCATCCGATTTCCTAAAACTCATGTTTTCACATAACGTGATCGATAATCAGTTTCTTTATTAAATCTCTGTTTTTCATTTTATCGATCACTTGATCGAATATTCATTGATCAATCACCTGTTCAATTAATCCACATAGTCTGTGTTTTTCGCTGAATATATTCTTACTCATTGTTTATCGATAACCTTATCCATCATCCATTTATCGATAATCTGTTCGATCATCAATGACTGAAGTTTCATTTCTGTAACACTTGGATTATCGATAATCTGTTTGATCAACAAGTGTTCAATCATGGAATGATTTCCATTTCAACATCAGTCGACTATGATGATTCTTAAAATCAATGATCCAACACTTGATCGATAATCATGTTGAACTGATTCAAAAGCTTTCCCTTTGTTTATCAATAACCTGATCGATCAACAAGTAATTAATCACCACTTCGATTAAGCATGTCCAGGATCTCTTTCTGCTCTTTTTACAGATAAATCATTTCATCTAGAATCATTGTATAATCGATTCATTTTTCTTCTTAGTTCATGACTAAAGCATACACCGCAAGACTCTTACTTGTTCAAAGTTTAAAATATACAGATTACTAAGAAAGACTGTAACGGCTCTTAAACGGGATTACGTAAACTGTAACCTACAGTGTCAGAAGCTCAGACGCATTAATGGCGGAACCGTTGAAACCGGCGAAACACGCAAACGGAGTCACAACGGCTAGAAGCTCTTCCGTCTAACGGCTACTTAACGATCTCAACTATAAAAGGCGCGAAGAAGCATTAATGAAGGGAATTGAATACCGGAACTACCATCTGTGATTATTAAGTCTAGCATTCAATACTCTGTTTCTTCAATACTACTGAGCGTCAGTGTTCATCATTAATTTCACTCTGTAAGAGAGTCGATAACTATCCTTCAATAATTACTATTGAGTGATACTCAAGAGTGTGGACTCTTGAGAGGGCTTGTATCCTTACGAGAGTAAGGGGGAGTGATTGAGTGATTCAATTACTATATCGAGGCACCAAGAGCCCTATCGATCTTGGAAGATAGTGAAATACTCAGAGGTGTTCTGAAGACTGGACGTAGGTCAAGTGGTTAGGACCGAACCAGTATAAATCTTGTGTCTTCCTTCTGCGGTGAAATCGCTCTTGACTCTAACTCTCTGTTTTCTATACTGTCTCGTTTTAATTTCGCAATTTTTTTAACTCACCCAATTCACCCCCCTCTTGGGTGAGATTGATTCTAACAAGTTTGATATACTTTTCTTTACTCATTTTCTGAGAGTAACTTAAGAGTGTGGACTCTTGAGGGGATTATAGCCTTATGGGTAGTCATAAGGAGTGATTATAGAAATCATTTACTGTACTGAGACGTCAAGAGCCTGTTTAATCTTGGGAACATAGTGAAAATCTCAGAGGTGTTTTGAGGACTAGACATAGGTCAAGTGGTTGAAATCGAACCAGTATAAATCTTGTTTCTTCGTTCTGTGGTGAAATCTTTCTAACTTAATCTTCTCTGTTTTACCTGCTTTACCGTTTTATTACGTTAAAATTTTTATAACTCACCAAATTCACCCCCTTCTTGGGTAAAGCTACCACTAACAATCTTAATGAGAAACATTGGGGCTAAATACAACAAAAGACTTACATTTATTGCTCTATTCTAACCAAACCATAGACAATACATACAATGAACAAGTTTAACAGAGTAAAAGTTTTTAATCATGCTTTCAAAGAAAAAACAAAGTTATCAAGCACAAAGTAAATGAGTAATTTGTTGGGCTTTCTGACAAATTTTGATCCTTCTCCAATAATTTGAACTCTGTAATTTGAAAATCATGCATGACAAAAAGTTTGTAGAAAGAATATATAAAAATAGAGAAAGATGATCACGTTATCTGATATCTCGATGTAAAACAACTACAAAAATAAGTTGACCATTATATGATACTATTGATGATCATGTCAACCTAGATTAAAATAGTTGCAATCAACAGACAAGATAATTTATATATTTTAGAATATTGATTTGGACGCTATATATTTTAAGGTATTTTTTTAACAAAAACAAAGCTATTTATTTATTTTGAATTGGATTGTCTTATATCCTTTTACCAAATTTACTGATCTTTTTTTGCGATGGAAGCTTGGTTAGGGTGAAAATTAACGTTCAAATAGGAGCATAATTATTGGGCGTAATTTCTTGAGATCATCATTACACGTATGCACGTAACGCGCGCTCCAAACTTGGCATTGGATTGTTGGAAAAGGACAAGACACGTGGCGGGTACAAGATAACAAATCTCAGAGAGTTGTAGCTTATAATAATTAATCCTAACGTCAACGGTCCTTAAACGGTCATGTCTCCGCTTAAAATAATTGTTATACAGTGGTGAGATCCCGGAAAGAAATAACAGTATGTCTGCCTTAAAATTCTAAAATTTCCTGTTGACCATAACATATTCTTTCTTAAAAGTAATTCTCTTATTTACAACTCAAATTTCACATAGATTACTTTACGCTATTCTTTCCCATAAAAAATGTAAAAATAATTATTGCATATTATTTGTATAAGACATATTTTCATATTTATTATTTATAGATATACTACTATAATCATTTTAAATAAATTTTCATATAATTATATAATATTATTAGGTTGAATCAGAGATATAAGATATTGAGTAAAATTAAATTCCTTTCATTCATTTAATTTAGGAAAAATGAAGAAAAAGAAGTAAAAAATTACTAAATGTCAAATAAAAAATGTTAAAGAAAATTTGTTGTCATATAGATTTAGAGTTGTCAACATCAAATAAAATATTATTATCAAAATTAATTTAAAATTTAATAAATTTTAGTTTCTGTTTTGTCATTTTTCCTTTAATTTATCCCTGAAATTTCTAAAATTTTTTATTGAAAAGCATACTGAACAAATGGAAATTGATTTTTTTTTGTTGAATATTTTTGAGTAACTATTCCAAAATTTTCAAAAACTACTGGCCATTCACTTTTGCGAATTCCCAACTATTCCCTGTACTGTGGGTCCCACCAGTCCGTCATACATAATTACAATTCTACCCCCACCTCATTTCCCGTTTCAAGCTCCATCTCCCCGCCTCCGCACCCCTCATCCTGCTGCCACTATCTGCCTCTATATAATACCACGTTTCAACATCACTAACACGCGACAACTGCTCTTCCTCTTCCTTCTCCCCGAAACTGAGCATGGCTTCTCCTTCATTCTCATCATTCTTCTTCTCGTTCTTCATCCTCTTCTCACTACTGCCAGCTCCATCACGTATGTATGATATATAATCATGTACATATGTCGAGCTCAAAATTTTCTGAAACTGGTACTGAATTTGCTTCTATTTTGATGTGTTTTGCAGATGCTGGTGGATCTTTCGGAATCAACTATGGAAGAGTAGCCAATGACCTACCACCAGCGTCCAAGGTGGTGGAGCTTCTCAAGTCTCAAGGTCTCGCTCGTGTGAAGCTCTACGACACTGACGCCGACGTCCTCACCGCCCTAGCAAACTCCAGCATTTCCGTCGTCGTCGCTCTCCCAAACGAGTTACTCTCCGCCGCTGCCGCAGATCAATCATTCACCGACGCCTGGGTCCAAGCCAACATCTCACGCTACTACCCCGCCACCCCAATCGAAGCCGTCGCCGTCGGGAACGAAGTCTTCGTCGATCCAAAGAACACTACACAGTTCCTCGTACCCGCCATTAAGAACGTTTACGCTTCTCTGGTTAAGCAAAACATAAGCACTAATATTAAAGTTTCTTCCCCCATAGCTCTCTCCGCCCTGCAATCATCATACCCGAGTTCAGCCGGATCCTTCAAGTCCGAATTAATCGAACCCGTGATCAAGCCCATGTTGGATTTCCTTCGCGAAACATCGTCGTATCTGATGGTAAACGCGTATCCATTCTTCGCTTATGCTGCGAATGCTGATAAGATCTCTCTGGACTACGCACTGTTCAAAGAGAACCCGGGTGTGGTGGATTCGGGTAACGGGTTGACATATTACAGCCTGTTCGACGCTGAGATCGACGCCGTTTTCGCGGCCATGTCGGCCTTGCAATACGACGACGTAAAGATGGTCGTGACAGAGACGGGGTGGCCCTCCAAGGGAGATGAGGACGAAGTTGGGGCCAGCGAGGACAATGCGGCGTCGTATAATGGCAACCTCGTGCGCCGGGTGTTAAAGAGAAGTGGGACCCCCTTGAGGCCAAATGACCCACTGAATGTTTTCCTCTTCGCTTTGTTCAACGAGGACGAGAAACCGGGTCCCACATCGGAGAGAAACTACGGGTTGTTTTATCCCGACGAACAGAAGGTGTACAACATTCCGTTGACGCTTGGGAAGCTTAAGGGCGGCGTCGAGTCGGAGCCAACGTGGAACGTCGAGAAGAGTCAGGTTCCGGTAACCAGAGGAGGGAGGGTGGAAACGACGTCGCTTCATGGCCGGACTTGGTGAGTGGCTAATGTACAAGCTGGGGAGAAGAGGTTGAAAGCCGCACTTGATTATGCTTGTGGTGAGGGAGGCGCTGATTGCCGTCCGATTCAAGAAGGTTCCACGTGTTACGATCCCAACACGTTAGATGCCCATGCTTCGTATGCTTTCAATAGTTATTATCAGAGGAAGTCACGTGGAGCTGGCACGTGCGATTTCGGTGGTGCCGCCTTGTGGTCACTCAGCCTCCCAGTAGGTGTTCTTTTTTCCCTAATTTTTAACTTCTAATTTATTCGTTACAACAAAGATTTTTTATGATTTCCTAAATTTTTTTAAGAAACTGTACTATAAATTTTACAACTGTATAAATATATGACATCTTTATGTGTGACGCAGGATATGGAAGTTGTGTCTTACCCGCCACAAGATACTGAAAGATCATGATGCGTTAAATGAAGAAGTTGAAACTGGACTGGTTGAGTTTACTTTTATTACTTTTTTTAACGTATATTTTAGTATTTAAGGCAGGTTTACTTAATCATCAATTTGTTTTGTAATTATTCATACTTTTATAACCTAGAATACTTAGTTATTTGTTATGTGAATTTAGCAGGCACAGGCACGAAAAGTAGTCGTCTAATTTAAAAATACAAATTTAATTAACATGCGCGAGAGTGAATAAATCTTAATTAGTACTTTAATTTAAAATTTTAAGTAAAAGCTTGTTGATTTTAATACAGCTGGTTTTCCACAAGCACTGAATTGTTGGTCGAAGTTTAGCATCAAGTTAGATATTGAGCAAATGAATAGTTGGCCATAAAAAGGTGAGAAATTAAACTACTATCTGTTGTTCTAATTATAAGACATCGTTTATATTTTATAAATAATATCTTATAATTACGACCGGAGGTAATATTTCATAATTCACATCCAAGCAAACAAAGTTATTAATTAAACAATAAAATTATAATAAAAACAAAAATATCTTATAAATTTTCTTCTAGAACAAATCTCTTTTAAAACAATATAATAATTTTTTACAATTTTTTTAAAATGTCAGTTTAAAAAATATTCTTGTAAATCAAAAAAGAAATATAATTGCAATTTTATAAAAGTTTGAATATATCTGTATGTGGCATCAATGAATATCTGTATATGTGATTTATTTGTTATAGAATACAAAAAAAAAATGATGGAGGAATTAGCGAATGAATTTTTTTTTTGTCAGTAATTTGTAGGAAAATTCTTTGTTAAAATTATTGATGGAATTTCCTACGACATTTTTTATAGCTAAATTGGTAACCAAATTAGCCAGGAAGTGACTATTTCTATTTCTAATCCATGGCTAATTTCATTGCTAAATTTGGCAGCGAAATTAGCCATGCAATTTTTCTATCTCTAATTTTACATGAAACATTTTTAGTAATGGAATTAGCCACAAATTTTTTCGTGGGTAGTTTTCGTGACTAATTTCGTCAATAATTTCATATGAAATCTTTTATCAATAGAATTAGTCACGGAATTTTTCCATGGCTTATCTCATATGTAATTTTACATGGAATTATTTTTAACTATTGAATTAGTCAAAAAAAATTTTTGGGGCTAACACCATTAGTAATTATGTTGCCAAATTGCTTATCGCAAAATTTTTTGTTGATAATTTTATTACTGATTAAATTCCGTCACAAATTTCAAATTTTATTATTTGAGATTATAGTCCTACAATAATATATATAATAACATAATTAATAATATAATGATTTAAATATATTTTCAATTAGAAACTTATTAATACAGGAAGATTAATTCTTATGGAAAAAAACTTGTTTTATGTTTCACTGAAATCAATTCCTCTTGATAATAATTAAACAACATAGTGAAGGATATAATACAAGATATATTAGTAACAACTTTATTAAGAAAATTAATGGGACATATAAATTATTATTAATCTATACAATATGCTAAAAGATGTAACACAAGATAAAAATCCAAAATCGACAAATAAACTTATATGTAGTGTATTTAACTCATGGAGTCATACAATTTTTTTTTTTATGTTAAATACTGTATTTTGGTCAACTCATATGAAGAAACAACAACCAACAAACTCGTGTAAATCTCGCTTGAAATCGTAGCTTCTTTGTAGCCACCCGCGAGTTTCCTAATCAACTTAATGAGTTCATGTAACGATTGAATATAATCATATATTTTTATTGCTATTTATTGATAGAGTTAAACTCTAGTTTACATATAGGGAAGTTGCATAATCTAGCTTCCTTATGCAAACTAGTCCCCTTTGTGCATCCTATCTCATCCTTGCGCAACTGATCCTTCCTTATATGTAATCCATCTTCCTCATATACAAATTACATTTTGGATATAAGAAAGATGAGTTGCCCGAAAAGGACTATTTGCATATAAGAAAAATGAATTACATACAGGGAGATAAGTTACACAAAAGGAAAGATAAGTTGTACAAAAAGTAATTTAATTTGTATATAGAAAACAATTAATTTGCACATAGGGAAGATAGATAACATACAAGAAAAGATAACTTGTACAAAGAGAAGATAGATTGCACAAGACCCATCTTCTTTTATGTGCAATCCATATTTCTTACATGCAAAGTACATTTTGTGTAACTTGTGTTTGCACATAGGTAAGATGGGTTGTATAAAGAGAAAATGTGTTGCATGAAGGGAGCTATTTTGCACATAGAAAAGACGAATTGCACATGAACGAAAATAAGTGCCACAAAGGGCATATATGTTGCATAAATGTAATTTTATTTGTATATAGGAAATAAGTAAGTTGCACATCGGAAAGATAGGTTGCTCACAAGAAGATAAGTTGAATAAAAGGAAGATGGATTGCACAAAGGAGACTAGTTTGTGTTGAGGTGGAGAAGAGAAGAACTAATTTCACAAGTTGGCGAGTGCTAGGGCTTTGATTTTTTTTTTAAAAAAAAATGGAAACATACTTATCTGTTATGTAGAACAGACAAATATAGTGACCATTTTCATCTGTTTTGAGATAACAAATGACAATACCCTCTACATTTCTGTCTATTCTATCAGAACAAACGAAAATGTTTGCCATACTCATCTGTTATAATAAGCCTCTTCTTATTCTTTATTTCATTTAATTGCCTTTATTGTCTTTTTCTATATTTGTTATAATTTCACCCAATTATTATCACAAAACTCCTAAAATAGATATAAAATCATATACTAAAATAAGGATTCATCAGTGTATGAGACAGTAGGGAAATCTATAGACATGAAAGCTTTGTTGATTTTGATCCCTTTGGTTTTCTTTTTCTCCACCTTGCACCATCACCATCACTTAATGCCTCTTGTTCTCTAATTAGTTATGGTGGGATTGATTTCAAAGGGATTTTTTCACTTGTTGACTACCACAAAAGGGAAAAATTTAAAAAAAAAAAGGTCTTGGACTACCTGGATACTGGACCACGTTTAGTCTGGCCCAACTTTAGGTTAGCTCTAGACTAGGTCAAACCACAAGTTATGTTGTGCAGCTCATGATCTTCATTAGGCTAGACCTCGAGCTGGACGTCACTCAGGTTTGGTCTAGTCTATGCACAACTCTATTTAAATATATTTACTGACTTTTGTTTATGTTTTTTAAATTTTTTAATAGTTTAAAAAATAAAATAAAATAAAATAACACGTGATGTAAAACTTTCTTAGTTGTGTTTCAATTGAAAGTTTAGAAAATAAAGTAAGAAAATATAATTTTTTTAACCTTAAGATAATATAATCAAATAATTTCTTATTGTAATGTCATTTTGAATTCAACCAACCAATTTCCAAATTGTTGAGTTAATTATATTAAATCAAATTAAACTACTTTTTAACCAAAAAATTATTAACTAAAAGTAATCATTAAAGTTGACCCATTCGGATTCAAAGTTGGTCACAAAAAAATTACATTTAACATATGGCTAAGCCAAAATAAAAATCCCAACGCTTTATAATTGGCCCAATCAATTTCGTAACTTCCCCATCAAAGAAATAAGGGCTAATACAAATTTGGTCTCTCAAATTTGTATCCATTTTGGTATTAATCTTTGAAATTTCAAATGCATGGTTTTAGTCTCTCAAATTATGTGTCCATTTGAATGAACAACTGGAAATGTAACTTATTATCAATTTGACTTTTGAAAATGCTAGATTGGCTAAAAGTTAAATTGGGTGATATGAATTGGTATTTGGATTGGATTTTATAAAAATTAGTTGTAAAAGTCAGATTGGGTAAAAAGTTGTTTGGGTTATGATTGAATAAAAGTAAGTTTAGTTTGTAAAATTACCAAAATAGGTATGAGTTTTAATAAATAATGAAACATGATAAAAAAATAAATTTACATAATATAATGAATTTAAATTATTTTAATATGAAGAAGTAAAATTTAATGACTGAAATAAATTTTAAAACATTAGAGATATCATTAAAAAATTATTGGAATTATGAAGTGAAACATAATTATAAAGTGATATGAGACTCTTTCAAATATATGAGAGAATGAGAGAGAATAAAATGAGGGAAAGTGAGAGAGAAATTAATAATTTTATCTGAAACTTTAAAGGTACATTCCCACAAATGTAATGAAAATAAAAAATAAGCTACTCATACCATCTTCTACAATGGTGCGGTTGAATCTTGCTTTTCAGCCATAAGTGGGATGGCCCAAAAGCTATACCAAACAGGTCAACAATTGCAAATCAGGCTTATGACACTAATAAGCTCATTTAAGGCTTTGTAAACACCCAGCCAAACGGACCCTATATCTGTTTCACACCATTGGTCCTTGGGAGCTTAGGTTGTTAATTTTGTCTGAGATGGCTTTAACACCATTAAACTGATGATATGGCCACTAACCAGGCAAAATAAGCTGGATAAAATCTTTGATCATGTGGCTTACTAACATGTAGATATAAACAAGTGGGGAAAAAAGATGATGGACTTGAAATGAAAACGTAATGAACAAAAGGGAATTTAAAATATGAACACACATGAAGAAAAAAGGGAAAGGGTTAGGTCAACACTCAAGTAGATCCACACTTGTTGAAGAAGAGTAACATGTTCATCACCAGAGCAACACGTTTTGCTAGTGGCCATAGAGGGAAGAAGCTGTAAGAGAGCCTTTGGTCAATTCCACTGGTTAAAAGGTAACAATTTCTATTATATTAACAACATTGATATGACCCTGTCTGGTGTAAGAAAATGAAAGGGTTGGCTGGTTGAACTATGGGATTGAAAATTCATGTTTTAATTGCATGTTTGGTTTTGTTTAATTTCTGTATGGTTGCTGTATAGCCGTATATTATAGCTGTCTTGTGTGATTGATTTTACCCATTGAATGCTTTGATCATTGCTCTTCTTGCATAGTGTATTCATGTATGCTTTGTTTTGATTCCTTTAATAGGAAGATGTTGGCATGATGATTAAATTGATGTTTATTTCATTTGGTTGCATTGTGGAGCGTTGACCTATTGTTATGAGCATTGACTATGTTGTTATTTATCAATGTGTATGGTTTCCTACTTTGTTTTCTCCTATGCTCTGTTTTCTTCAT